AGCTGGGCCGGCTGGTCTGACTGCATTAAATATGAGATGCCTTCTTCATCTGCTAAAGCCTATTCTTCGTCTTCAACAAAGTTCCAGGTGAGAGTTCACACCAGCTGTCCAAATTGCGATCCTGACAGGTCCATCGAAATGCGTCGATGTAATGCAGGAGAAGCGCTAAGCAGTGAAGAGGGTGAGCAGAAGCGGCTGGTCACTTTTCGCCAGCTGGCATTTGTAGGGATGCTTCTCCAACACTTTTTGTTATATCAACCTATTACAAATGCAATACCTATTGATCTCAATAGCCCAGACTAAGCAGTGTGAGTTCATGAGCTGTGAAATAGATTTCGTTTTCACAACCTGGCCGGACCAACAGGGAGATATTGTGGAACGCACCTAGTCCTGCCTCCTTTGTCATAATATTCATGATAGTCTTCGGCATCGGACCGTTGACTTCTAACTCTCAGACGGTTCGCCAGTACCGTCAATGGCTGGCACCAGGCCTAGCTCGGAGTTACAATTTACGTGGTCTCGTCGAAATACAACCAAGAAGAGGAATACCCTTTAAGATGAATAATTAATATCGTCTCAATTCTAATAATATTTTCTTCCTGCTATCCACAACCTAGCAAGAATTTTAACAAAAAACAAGATACCTACCGATATTATTAATTCATTGGGCCACTAGATATTCACATCAGTTCTGCAGCACTTAGCTTTGACCGCAGACAGAGTCAAGGCGAAAGAGCTAAATCCGTAAAGATAACAAAATTCGGTACGGTATTAAGTATAAGAATAATAGTGTGCATACTACCAGCCCAAATACTATAATGATTGTGCGACAGCCAAAACTACAATGACAACTGCATGAGTAGATCCGGCATAAGCCTAGGGAACGTCTCCTAAGTTTCCATAAGCTAGGACCCCGATCAATCGTTTAGGAGGCAGGAATCGTCGACAGGGCTTGAGTTGTATAAAAAGATAACTTTTAACCTTTACGGGTGCAATGTGACAAATCCCCTGAGTTTGTCATCGATTTATCTTACCCTAATGCATGATTATCAATAAGAAATTATCGCCTTAATACAAAAAGCTTGAATAAGTTTGGAAGCCTGTCCCTGTGGAGTATAATGTTATTTAATAAGCAAAGTTCTACTGTAATTAAGATTATTTCCGCAAGGGTAATCAGAGATAACGAAATCCAACTTTGGTTAATTATCATCAGTTCTTCACGTTAGAACGATGCTGAACACATCAAGCAGCAGTCCAGGAACATCAGCAAGTGCTGGCTGGAGCGGCGGGACGCAGCTGGAAGCAACAGCTGAGGCAAACATCAATTTGGTCCACGCCATAATAGTTACTACTATCGCCTGCCTGCTTGGAGCAATGATGGTGCTCGTCCCATACATTATATATGCCAGATGCTCGTCAGGTCGAAATAGGAGCCACCGCTTGGTCACTGAACCTGGGCACGACTCAAA